GGGGCTGGAACGATAGCACAGCGGGTAGGGCGTTTTCCTTGCACGCGGCCGACCCAGGTTCAATTGCCAGCATCCCATATGGTCCCCTGAGCACCGTCAGAGCTAATTCCTGAGTGCAGAGCCAGGAATAACCCCTGTGCATCGCCAGGTGTGACCCAAAAAGCAAAAAAATTAATAAATTAAAAAAAATAAGAAATAAAGAAAAAAAGAAAGGACATTTTTGAGAGGATAATTAGAAAACAGAATGAAATAAAATGGCATCCAGGTTGCAAGGAAAGAGAGAAAGCTTTCCTTGTAGGTGGTATGTCTTTTACACAGAAAGTTATAAAGAATATATTTTTAAAATGACTGGAAATGATAAACAAGTTCAGCAAGATCGGTGAATCCAAGATAGACAGTAATTCGTTTTATTGCTGTACATTTGCAGTGAATGACCGCAAATGAAATAAAGTAGTTTTATTTATCTTAGTATTAAAATATGTAATTGTTAGGAATAAAGTGGTAGAGCAGCATAAAACTTACATTTTGAAAGATCTGAAGCACTAATGCAAGAAATGGCCAAGTACCTAAATTAATGGTAAATGTCACATGTTTGTGTACTGGGAGACTGAACCTTGTTAGACGGAATTTCTCCGAGGGACACCAGATTAAATCCAGCCCCATGTTCTGAAAAAATCAGCGGGGCCTCTTGCAGAAATTGTTTCTGAAATTCACATGAAATGGAACCCAGACTGTGGAAAAGAGACAACTGTGTTTCTGGCACGGAGACAGACGTGTATATCAATAGCCTTGCATGGACAATTTAGAATAAACTCGTGTTTATGGTAAGTTCCTGTTCAGAAATGAAACAGGCAGTTCAACGGGGCAAGAACAATCATTTCAACAAATGACCCGACCTCACCTGGGTACACACAGGCAGAGGGCTGAAGCTGGCTCCCTATTTCACACTTTATACACAGTGAACTCGAAATGGATAGAACCTAAAAGCATAGAACTCTTAGAAAAAGAAATACGAGTTCGTCTGAGTGACCTTGGATCAAATGGTTTCTTAGCTAGAAACCAAAAGCACAAACAGCAAAAGAGAAGCAGACATAATTCTTCATCAGAATCAAAAGCGCCTTCCTTCAAAGATGCCGTCAGCCGAGTGAAAGAGAGTCTGCAGCCTGGGAGGGGGTGCGTGCAGGCCGCCAGGATGTGAGGAAGCCTTACAGCTCCACAGAAGGGCAGTTTGGGGGGCTGGAGTGGTAGTACGGTAGGTTGGGCTGACCTGGGTCCATCCCCAGCATGCCATATGGTCCCCCGAGCCCAGCCAGGGGTGATTCCTGAGCACAGAGCCAGGAGTCAGTCCTGAGCATCACTGGGTGTGGCTCAGAACAGACAAAGGCCCGACCTCACCTGGGTACACACATGCAGAAGGCTGAAGCTGGCTCCCTATTTCACACTTTATACACAGTGAACTCGAAATGGATAGAACCTAAAAGCATAGAACTCTTAGAAAAAGAAATAGGAGTTCGTCTGAGTGAACTTGGATCATTTAAAAAAAAAAAAAAACGGGTGCACTGGCCTGGAACGACTGAAAAACAAAAATCGTAAACGGGCGAATGTTCTTAATAGAGGTTTATCCAAAGACACAAGCGGCCAAGAACCATGTAAGAAACGACTCTTTTAGCCTTCAAGGACGAGGTTTCCATGCCACTTTGGCCTCTGTCAGGAGAGGAGCCTCGGGGGACTGCGTGGGGCTCCCACTGCGGCACAGCACACACCTGTCACCTGTCTCCGGCCACCCCAGAGCCTGCGAGCCTAGGCCAGGTATAAAGCCACGACAAAGGGGGAGAGAGAGAGGGAGAAGGAGCGGGAATAGAGGTCCCTGCTGTTGAGGCAGGTGGGGGGGCAGGGCGTGGTTTGGGGGTGCGGAAGGGAAACTGATGACATCGGTGCGGGGAAATCACTCTGGCGGAGGGATGGGTGTTGGGACATTGTGTGACTGAAACCCAGTCACGAACGGCTTTGTAATGCTCTATCTCATGGCAGTTCAATAAAATTTAAAAAATAATAATAATTCAAAAAAAAAGAGGGGGGCTGGAGCGATAGCACAGCGAGTAGGGCGTTTGCCTTGCACGCGGCCGACCCAGGTTCGATTCCCAGCATCCCATAGGGTCCCCCGAGCACCGCCAGGAGTGATTCCTGAGTGCAGAGCCAGGAGTAACCCTTGAGCATTGCCGGGTGTGACCCAAAAAGCAAAAAAAAAAAAAAGAGAGAGAAATGAAACCCCAGACGGAATGTCCACTGGTATTCCTGACACCATCTGTGGTGGTTGTTTCACAATGTAAATAACCCGGATGTGGCTGGGGACATGTCACTTGGCGGGAAAGCAGGGTGGAGTGGGGAGGGGAGGCGGGCTGCGTGAAGGGGTCCCTCACGCATCCCCTCACCTCAGCCAGACCCTGCCGAGAGCAGGAAACGGGGGCTTCCTCGCCACTGTTTCTTTCCTATCCTCCTCGATTTTCTTGGCTGTCCCTTCCACTGTTTCTTTTTTTTCTTTTTGGGTCACACCCAGTGATGCTCAGGGGTTACTCCTGGCTCTGCACTCAGGAATTACTCCTGGCGGCGCTTGGCGGATGCCGGGGATCGAACCCGGCTCGGCCGCATTCAAGGCAAACTCCCTCCCCGCTGTACTGTCGCTCCAGCCCGCCACTGTTTCTTTGCACTCATCACACACCCTCCACCATCTCGTCTCTGAATTCCCTCTCAGAGATTGTGCGTGTGGCTATTCCCTGGCGAGGCCTCAGGGCTCTTTTCTTCTTCATCTGCTCCAGGTGGGGGTCGGCGCTGTTTCCCCATGAGGCCGTGGTGGGCTGGAGGTGGAGCCTTCCAGTTTACTATCAGTGTCCCCCTCTCGCTGCCTGGGAGGATTCTGGGGGAGTTCGGTCGATGGTGGCTTCTTTGCCCTTCAAGAATACTAACTCCCTCTTCAGTGCTCCTGTGTGACCGTGTGGGGCCCCTGGCATGCAGGGGATGTGTTCTTTGGCCTGAACTTAACTGTTACTTTTAGATTGGGGTTGGATTCATTCTTGTCTTCACCCGTGTTTTTGGGGTTTGGGGCGTATGTTGACTGGAATAGGCTAAAATGAGCAATCGGCTGAATGATCGGCCTACCCAGCCAGGCTGTCTTCGTGAGAATTCGGTAAAGGAGGCCAAGATGCAGGTCCAGCGCAATATAGAAGGGAAGATTAGCTGGTGGCTGCCACAGTTGGTGGCTTCCTGAGGCCCAGAGGTCAGGGAGATGGAGAAGTGCCCGCTTAGAGGTGCGAGGCTTCTTTCTGAGACTGGGAAAGTGCTGGAAAATGGCGCTGTGACAGGCAGCACTTCCAGGCCCCTCTTCCGCACGTTCAGTCCACGATGAACTGTGTGAAATGAGAATCGCGTCTCAGAGCCGCTGCCATGATCGTTTACAAATGAGCGAAGTGAGGATTTGTACTCCGGGGTTTCACTTTCATCACAAGTTACTCCAAGGATAGAGCTCTGAGGAGGAGCGTGTGCCCTGGGGTTGGGCCCCAGCCTCAGCACAAAACAGAACCGAATGTGATCCCAGGGGGCATTGCTAGCAGCAGCTCTCCTGGCAGAGTGTGAGGATGCCACATTCTCCCTGATGCAGTTCCGGACAACTTGAGCTCGCAACCACCCGGCAGCCTTTCTGCTGTTCAGTACGTCCACAGTTCCTCCCTCCTCCTGCACCCTGGTGATGGTGAACACCTCCCGTTCCATGCCTGCTCAGCTCTGATCGGTCCAGAATTGGATTCCAGAGATGAGTTGTCAGACATTTTTTTTCAAGTTCTCACAGGATATCAGTTTCTCCCAGGATATCGATTTACCCAAAGATATTTCATTTCAGTAATATGACTGTCCATTACATACTTGATCTTCTTGAAAAGCCATAAAGTGCATAACTTTGTTGTGTGTTTATATAATGCTGCTGTCGTAGTAAATGATAGATCATCTCATCAATTTCTAGAAAGCCTAGAACTTAAAAGTTGCTTTAAGAATATCAAGTGATGAGGCTGGAGCGATAGCACAGCGGGTAGGGCGTTTGCCTTGCACGCGGCAGACCTGGATTCGATTCCCAGCATCCCATATGGTCCCCTGAGCACCGCCAGGAGTAATTTCTGAGTGCATGAGCCAGGACTAGCCCCTGTGCATCACCTGGTGTCACCCAAAAACCAAAAAAAAAAAAAAAATCAAGTGATGAGGTCATAGCTATAGTACAGTGGGTAGGCCACTTGCCATGCATGTGATGACCCAGGTTTGATCCCTGGTATCCCATGTGGTCCCCCGAGCCCCACCAAGTGTGATCCCTAAGCACAGAACCAGGGGTAACCCATGTATATCAGCAGGTGTGACCCCCCCTCCCAACAAAACAAGAATATCAACTGAGGGACTGGGGACATAGTGGCAGGAAGCTGCCGGCCTTGCATGCTTCCAACAAGACTTCCCTGAGCACCACCAGAAGTAGTTCCTGGGGCTGGAGCCATAACACAGAGGGTAGGGCATTTGCCTTGCACATGGCTGACTCGGGTTCGATTCCCAGCATCCCATATGGTCCCCTGAGCACCGCCAGGAGTAATTCCTGAGTGCATGAGCCAGGAGTAACCCCTGTGCATTGCCAGGTATGACTCAAAAAGAAAGAAGAAGAAGTAATTACTGAGTGCAGAAGTGCAGAACCAGGAGTCAGCCCTAAAACAAACAAAAAAACCAGCAACAAAAAAGAATATGAAATGAAAAAAAAAATTATGCGAGGGCTTGGAAAGCTAGCACCGCAGGTGGGGCACTTGCTTTGCCTGTGGCCAGCCTGGCATCCATCCCCGACACCCTCCCCCGAGCCCCACCTGTCCCCAGGGTCCCGGGAGGAAGCCCCTGGCCCTTCAGCGTGTGGGTCTCCGTGCGCTCGCTCTCCTGGCCCTCCCGGCCACCTCGCCTCTCACGCTCTGTGTTTGTCCTTGCAGTGGACGAGGACCGCAGCCAGGAGCCCGAGCGGCTGCAGGTGTTCCACAGGAAGGCCATCCTGCCGTACGGCGAGTACCGGGCGCAGCAGCCGCAGGCGGCCGACGAGGAGGCGGCCGTGCTGCAGTACGCGGAGCTGGTGGGGCAGAAGTGCTCGGAGCGGATGCTGCTCTTCCGGAACTGACCCTGCGCCTGGGGGTGCCCCCCCCACCTTTCTCCCGGCCCCCCCACCGCTCGGAGCTCTCGCACCCGCCGGACCCAGCCCGACCCAGCCTCACCCCAGGCCTCCCCACATCCCGGACGTTGGTTCTCCCAGCAAGAGACGGGAAACGTCTCTCTGTGACTCCGACTCGCGTCGAGGGTAACATCCGCAGGCGACTCTCGGGGACTCAAGTGACGGTCGTGCTTCGGCGTTCCGGTAGAGAAATTAAAACAGGCTGTTTCCCTAAGTGCAGCCGAGGACGTCGGTTTATGCTTTCAGAAGAGAAGGGCCCTCGGGTATACGGGGATGGAGGGGGAGGGTGGGCGTCTGGCCTCGCCTCGCAGGCGCCGTCCCTGCGAAACGGCCCACTCACGTGGACCCACGGGAGTTCCCAGTCCCCGGAACTCAGGACCCTCATCTTTGGTGGTTGAGTAAGAAATCGCGGCCGCCTTTTAGAAGCTGCGCTGCTCACCGCACTCGGCCCTCCCGGTGACGCCTCGGGTCCAGGGCAGGGGGAACCACCGTCCTCGCCCTTCAGTTTGGAGTTGGAGGAGGCCGGACTCCTGGTTGCGGTGGAGGCTGGAGCCTCTTCCCCCTCCCCCCCCAGCGCCCCCTCTCCCTCCCTCCAGCCCTCCTGCCTCCCCGCTTTCCTCTCCTCTGTCCCTCCCCGTCCTCTCTGCTCTCCATCTTTTCCCCTTTCCTCTCCGTTGCCCGCTGGACCCTCGCCACCTCTGCCACGGCGATGGGCGCCTCACAGGCGGGAGGGCCAGGGGCCTGGCACGTGTGGGAAACACTCAGGGCTGCGTTTCCTATCCACCCCTCCCCTTTCCTCCTCCCACCCCCCCCCCCCCCCGTTTCGCTCTCATTTTGCTCGTTTCTCTGTTATCTGTTGATGGATCATTTTTAAAAGCCATATTAAAGCATTTGCTATTCGAATCCATGACCGCTGTTGCACTGTTCCGATACGTACGCCGGCTGTCGGTGAAGCTGCCGAGAATCCCCGTAGCCGGTCGGATGACAGGATTGGCCAGAAAGCAGCGATGGGGGGCAGGGGGGGATCAAATGTCTCGAAATGCAAAACCCAAACCCACTGCTTGCTTGCTTGCTTGGTGTGTACGCACGTGTGCGCATGTGTGTGAAGAGGTGTGGTGGTATGTGCCTGTGTGCCAGTGCCCACGTGTGTGCGTATGCTTGTGTGTGTGCGTGTTCTTCGAGGGGGCCTGTGTGCGTGCTGTGTGCGTGCAAATGTATTTCGAGGGGGTTGTGTGTGTGCGCACCAAATGTACTTCGAGGGGTTGCGTGTGTGTGTACTTCGAGGGGGTTAGTGTGCATTCTTCCGTGTATGTGTGTGTGAGTGTACTTTGAGGGGGTTTGTGTGTGTGTGAGTGTCCTTCAAGGGGGTTTGCGTACGTGTGTGTGTGCGTGCCAAGTGTACTTCGAGGGGGTTTGTGTGTGTGTGTGTGTGTATACGTGTGTACTTTGAGAGGGTTGTATATGTGTGTGCATACATGTGTACTTTGGGGGGGTATGTGTGTGTGTGTGTACAAGTGTACTTTGAGGGGGGTAGTGTGTGCGCGTGTGTGTACAAGTGCACTTTGAGGGGGGTTGTATACATCCATGAGTACATGCGAGTGTCCTTCGAGGGGGTTTGCATACGTACATGTGTGTGTGCCAAGTGTACTTTGAGGGGATTTGTGTGTCTGTGTGTGTGTGTGCGCACATGCGTATGTGTATGCTTTGAGGGATTTTGTGTGCGTGCGTTCGTGCGTGCATACGTGGTACACCTGCTCTGCTCTCTGGGGAATAAAGGAGTGAGTAAAGCCATTTTCTGTGTCGATTCTTGGACGGGAGATCGCTTTAGAAACTGATTGTTTAGAAACCCTGGCTGAGGAACTGCTGATGCCAACTGCCCTCAGATGTCTGGGCACATGGTCCGCGATGAGCCTTGAGCGGGAAATTGGGAGTTGAGGTGGAGGGGAGGGAGGCTCTCATGGGGAGGAAGGTGTGGAAAGGACTTTTGGAGACCATTTCCCTGGGTTGGGCATCGTGTGTAGTTCTTTCCTCGTCTCAGACGAACTCGCATCTGCTTTCCTGTCTTGGCGCAAACATCTAAGAGGCTCCCCCATGGCACCATCTTTCAGTTATTTCAGTTCAATGAGATTCCCATCATTTTATTTTTTTTAAGGTAATCTGAGCACTTTTTATATGATAAAACATAAAATCTATTGTCAGGTGACTATGTTATTCAATTGATTTAAATTATTTAGATAAGAAGTTATTACTGTGTATGTTTACTTTTAAACAGCTTATATTTTTTTCATCTGTTTTGCAAAATATCAATGTGTGTGCTTTCTAATCTATCAGAATCTATTACGGAATGAATATTTTCAGGTTTCGGAATAGTACCTAGTTTGCTTTTATAAACTATGATTTCTGTAATGAAGAAATATGGGAAATATTGTGATGACCATTTATTGAAAATATATCTGTTGTAGTTTAAGAAAAGAAGGAAGTAAAAACAATTTGGGAAAGTTTGAATTGGGAGTTATTCAGGTATATTCTATTTTCCAAAAGGACACTAGTAATTTAAGGTAAAATGTTTGATTGCATGTGATTTTTTTTTTCTCTTGTACATGCTCTGGAACCAACTATTTTGAATGGGAGAAAAAAATAATAATAAAGCTGTTCCTATCTCTAGTGGCTCTTGCTGGTCAGTACTTAAAAGTCATTTTTTATGGGCCAGAGAGATGGTACAATGGGTAGTTCTCTTGCCTTGCATGTGGTGACCCTCTTCAATCCCTGGCATCACATACAGTCCCGAAGTACTGCCATGAGCCCTGAGCACAGAACTCAGAGTCTGCTCTGAACGGTGCTGGGTATGGCCCAGAAATGAAAACAAACAGGTCCTGGAGTGATAGCACAGCAGGTAGGTTGTTTGCCTTGCATGCAGCCAACCCAGGTTCAATTCCCAGCATCCCAGATGGTCCCCTGAGCACCGCCAGGAGTAATTCCTGAGTGCAGAGCCAAGAGTAACCCCTGTGTATCTCCGGGTGTGACGCCAGAAAAAAAAGAAAAGAAAACAAACAGCCTAAAAAAGTCTTTTAAGTTCTTGAATACCAACTTAGACCCACAGTGGGTGTGCTGATAAGAGAAGTAAAGCATTAGCTATATGAATCATGATATTTGACTTTTAATAATTGGACTTCCATCTCATTGCATTACCTAATCAAAGCATAATGGATTCCTTTCTCGGGAATAAAGGAAAGTAAAATTAATCTCACTTGAATTTAAAAAAAAATTGTTTTTTCACATGATAGATTAAAGGAATAAACATTCTTTTACCCAAAGGAATTCAGAGTAAGATGTAAGTAGTAAAGTCAAGTGTTGTTTCTTTTTAAAAGTGTAGCTTACAGAGAAATTTTCATAAATATCTTATAAAGCAAAATGTGCAGAATATTGATTCGTAATAAATCCAGAGTATATTTATGGAATACATTTGCAAGTATTTTCTTTTTTTTTTTAATAGAAAAAAGGATCCTGGTAGGTTTATGATAAAATCTATCGTATTTTCCAAGGGATTTAACTATTAGCTATACTTGCCACTGAGTATTTTCTTCCCGAAAAGAAATAGCATTGTTGTTTTTCTTATTTTAAATAAAGGGGTTGTCCAGAAAACATTTAAGAACATTCTTGGGAAAAGTGTACCAAAGAAAATAAAAATTACTGTAGAATTACCACTACTACCACGATTTACGTATGTCTTTCCAGCCTTTGTGTACAGACACTTATGTATATGCTTTATTTTAAAATAAAATTGAAATCACACCATGTATATAATTGTCTTCTTGATGTTTCCACCCCTCGCTGTATCACGGCTGTAAACCTTGGTGGGGGACAAGGGTCCTTGGGCCATCGAATCCCCCCTGCTGTGTCTCAGATGGGCAGGGACGGGCCCCCGGGATCCGAGTAGGGAGTAGGGCTTGGGATGACCAGCTTAAATATCTGTTCTAATTTCTCCTGATCATTTTTTCCAGAAAGGAATCATTTTCTGTCAGTAGTTTTTGGTCCTCATTTTCTGCATTGTTTTCTGATTTCTCATTTTCTGGTTATTTTTTCCAGAGAGGAATAGTCATTAATCTGTCATTCATCTTCGTTCCTCATTTTCTACATTGTTGTGGTGTTTGCATCCACTTGGTTGTATGTGAGATGCCACACTCCTGCGTGTAGGATGATGCCGGGGATGAAACTCAAGACCTCACACCTGCAAGGCAGGTGCTGTATCACCGATCAGCCTCTAGGGCCCACCAAAAAAGGGATACTGGGATCAGTGGTGGTGGAAAATGGGCACTGGTGGAGGGATGGGTATTCGATCATTGTCTAACTGAAACCCAAGCACAAAAATTTGTAAATCTACAACTGTAACTCATGGTGTTTCACTAATAAAAACCTAAAAAATCGGGGCTGGAGCAATAGCACAGCAGGTAGGGCGTTTGCCTTGCACGCGGCCGACCCGGGTTCAATTCCCAGCATCCCATATGGGCCCCTGTGCATTGCCGGGTGTGACCCAAAAAGCCAAAAAAAAAAAAAATCTAAAAAATAAATAGCCAAAAAACACACACAACCACAGAAAAACAAATTCATGCTCAGCTTCTTTGGTTCTTCGTGGTACTCCTGTCGAGTTTTGTAGCCCGGGGTCTGCAGCACTGCATTTCATCTGCAATATGAGGAAACGATTCCAAAGAGAAATGTGGTTTGAAAAAACAGGCTCGTCGCAAATCTGAATCGGTGGTGGCGTCGGTGCTTTGCAAGAGGGAGCCTGGAACGGGGCCTGCAAGAAGCGTCAGCGGAAGCAGCTGCTTTGCGCGTCCAGCAGGCCTGATGCCCACCACAGTGGCCAGCCCCAGTATCTTTGTGTCTCGGATCATTTGGGTTTGAGTCCAGCAGGCGTGCATGGAAGTGGGTTTTGAGTCTCATTTATTCCAGGCAGCTCGATGGACAAGGGGAGAGTTCTTGCCGAATTCAGCTGTGGGGTTTGGATCACGGTCTCCGGAACCCCCGTCTTTCATGTTTTCGCCGATCTGTGCCCACGTCTCGAAATCTGTCCGTTTCGGCCTCTTTTTCAGTCTTTTCTAATTAGCGTTGAATGGGACTCATGAATACTCATGAGGTCCCGTCCATCACACTGTTCAAGCGGGATTCAATGGGTCTGAAACGGCATTTCTCAGTGGCGCTTTTTGATCACAGAACAAGAAAAACAATACTTTGGGTTTGTGAATTCGGGGCTTCAGACTCTTAGCACACTTGGAAGAGTTTTATATGCTTTTCCAATTTTTTTTTTTTAATAAGACAAGGCCAGACTAAAAGCTAGTTGTTGCTGAGATGGTTTTATTTGGTAATCATTAAAGCAAAGATTGCGTATACCTGCATATTTGATTGAGCGTTACATGTGGATATACAAAGAGAAAACTGAAGGCCCGGGTAGCCATTTGATTCATTCTCTACTGTAGTTTCAAGAATCAACTGGTAAAAGGTTTGAATTTCCAAGACTTTCAGAAGTCATACAAGCTGATAAAACTGCCGGGTCTGGTAAGGTAGCTACTATCAATATCTAATTAAAATTCATCAATTTATTTTCTTTCATTCATTAATTTTTTGGTGTTGAGGGCTACACCTGGCAGTGCTTAGGGCTTACTCCTGGGTTTGTACTCAGGGATCACTTGGCAGGCTTGGGGGATCCATATGGGATGCGGAGGATCGAACCTGGGTCAGCTGCATGCAAGGCAAATGCCCTACCTGCTGTACTATCTCTCCACCCTCCTAGTTAAAATTGAAACTCCGTTGTCAGGGGTCGGGGGTA